TGCTTAATTAGTATCCGGATATTATATATCAAAATAAAAATGTTGTTTGTCTATGTGAAGGCTCCCAGACCTAACGAGCACAAAAACTTAATTACTTCCGGTTTAGACCGGACAATCCCTTTAAAGGGCAACTCCGCTTAATTTCAAAAATTCTGAGATAGTGGCCGATTTTGCTTTTTGAAGCACTCAAAAACAGTCCCCAATCCTTTGTTTCGCGAAAAATAAAATATTTTTCGTGTAATTTTACTCTAGCCATGATCACAAACCGAAACCGAAACGGTGGCAAAGCCGGACAACATTGTATATTCGGCATCACTAAGCATGTACACCCACGTGATATACAAGGGGAAGAAGAAGCTCCCCTCTTATCAGGATCCTCCTTTGTGCCTCCTGGATTAGCACAGGCGTCGCTATTCTCCTCCCAGAAGATTATAGAAGATTAACCTGTCACTCAAAATTCTTACAAAAGCAGCTTCCCTCTCCTCCTTTTACTTGGTGTTCAAAAGTATGCGATGTAACACAAGCCGCGCTCAATGAGGCGATCGGCTTATCAGTAGTATCAATAGTCTAGCGCCGGGCCGGCCGAGCGCGTCACTCACGTCTTTCACGGCGCTGGCGCCACCCGTGCTCTCCCCGAAAAAAAAAACAAAATTGAAAAAAAAAAAAAAAGAAGCTGTACATGTTTGATGACGTCGCGGACGTGCAGGGAGAAGGAATTTGGAGGAAGCGGAAATGCAGCCGGGCAGTGTTGTCTGGCCCGCACGTCTCAACCAAAACCAGCGGATTCGTGCTTGTCAAACTTTGACAGCAATTTTAATGAACTTCTAGGCGGAATTTCGTCGTAATATTTGCCATGGGGGTTTGGTAGATGATAACAAAGAGAACTGTATAGTTTTGCACTACTGGAAAAGAAGCGGAGTTGCCCTTTAAGGCTCACGGCTGGGTCTACGGTCATGGGGAAGTTGTATCTAGATTTAAAGTTGTTAAACGGTAACGGTTTTGTTGGTCGCAATGAAAAGAGGAACCCAAGAGGGTCTTATCTAGACACAGTGCCCATTCAAAACTCGTAAAGGTTGATGTCGTAAAGTCTCTTATAGGCAATGCTGTAAAAAAGTTGTGTATGTATTCGTTGTGTCAGCAGCGTGCTTCTGAGACAGTTGGAGCAGTTGAGGCTGAGTATAGTTTGGATTTATTTAGATCAATTTTGTGTAGACAAACTGTAGAAAGGCCTAAAGCTCTGAGGGGACTCCGAAGAAAAATGTTGTAATTCCATACTTTCATGGGTTTTCACATACAGTCGCCAACCGATTTTTCGGACTCGGAGGAGACTCCGAACTTGTCCGAATAATCAAGTGGTCCGAAAAATTGATTTCAGCCAAATTACCGAATTTCCGCGCATATTCCGCTGCGTATTGGCCACTTTCCACTTGCTTGATGTCAAGTTTAAGTTCTCATGCAACTTCCGCTTTATATTGTTCACTTTTCACTTGTTTGTTTAACTGTTTGATCACGGTGCGGCACTTCGTTAGCGCCTTTGTTGGCACTAACGGCGAAGGTGAAGTTGGCGCCATTTGGCGCTATTTGGCTTTGCACCAGGCTCACTTCAATACTAAGCCTATCGGCAAAAAACCTTCGAGCTCAAAGACCACAAGTACGGCAAACGGCAACTCTTCTCGCGGTCGCACCCAAAAAACACGGACCACGAGAACAACTGGAAGAACCATAAGAATTGTCAGACGGCGGCCATGTTGGCTACAGCAGAACCAGAAAACCCGACTATAGCCTCAACCCAGCTTGCTTATTGCGTAGGACGTAGTATCGAGGCTACAGGGAAAAATCAAAACGACCAAAATGGCAGCGAGTAAGCTCGCGGCGCTATCGTGGTGGCTGTTTTGTGGCTGTAAACTGAGGATATCGCACAAATTATGTCCGAAATATCGAGCAATAAGCTTTACGACGTCCGAAATTTCGGTCAATGTTATACATTAGCTCTATGGGGTGAGTGACGGTTCGGTGAAAACGCCCGAATAATCGAACGTGTCCGAAAAATCGGTCGGCGACTGTATTCTCAAAGCTTTGGCTCAGAAGTTTGAAGTAAATGTTGTTTTTAAGACACATTTCCGCTTAGGTAGTCATACACCGTTTGCGTCTGAGCGAGAACAGAGCTCTGTGAAAAAACATAGGGATCCTCCAATTGGTTGCGTCAAGGAAGTTGTGTACAAAATCCTGTTTGATTGTGGGCTGTGCTATGTGGGCCAGGTGGGTCGGTGTGTAAACGACCGCCTCTTGGAACACAAAAGGAGAGTGAAAAATGTTTCTCCATCATCTGAACTAGCCAAACATATTGCTGAATGTAATGCATGCTCACCATTATAAGAAGAGACTTCAATTTTGTGCAAAGAAAGCGACTCTTTCAAAAAAAATCTAAAAGGAAACCTTGAGTATAGGGGACCACGGAAATTGCGCGAGCCAGCCGTCTATAGTTTTGAACGAGTGCGTGAGACAATTCCTTCCGTTGCGAGTTTTTGTTGCTGTTGTCGAGGGGTGGGTGGTTAAAGAGGGGGGGGGGGGGGGGGGGGGTTTGCTCAGTTCACACAGCCTTAACTGGGATTGGAGATTATCTTGTCCGGTAGTTTGGCGGCGGCCGGGTGTCTGCTGGTGGTGTGATGTCGGGGTGAAGCTCAGTCAGTCTGGCTCAGTTACGCCAACTTTGCAGCGGCATGTCATTTCTATCTTCCCTCTTTCCTGTCTGTGGGGACAGCTATAAAATGTTCCCTTGTGAATAAACTCACATTTCCATCTTTTTCTTCAGTTTGTCCACTTCGCTATGCTTGGTGGCTCAGTTCCCTTACTTCCACTAGTTCCGTTTCGCAGAGTTCAGGGCTGTAATTATGCACCACTCATGGCAAGCATGTATTAAGCTTCACTGCTTTTCACCAGAATATGCGTCGCGCTTCACTGCTTCACACACAGGCATGCTGAGAGCAGTGGCTGACAAGGGGTAGCATCTGGGTTAGCTCGATGGGCTCACAACTTTCGCTCACTCTTCTAGGTCCACATCCTTTGTTTACGATCATAGACCAAACCCAACTTTGAAAGAACAGACTAATGGCGAATTCCACTGGTCATTTTGGAGCGCGCCGGGATCAGTAGACCAGATCCGAGATTGAGCATGCAATCTGAACGGTCGCTTCACATCTGGATCCCCGGTGGAACATGACCACTCCTTCGGGATCAGCGGATGCCTTCTTGTCATTCATCTTCCCGATAATCCCCTTCCCGCAGTCCCAGATCCCGAAGCACATTTTTACAGCTGCGACGCTAACAACACGTGTCCAACGCACGAGCCAATTTAAACATGATGTGAAAGAAGCGTGTCGATAAGCAAAATGCATCAGTGCAGCCCACTTGCCTCTTCATCGGAACACTCGTCAACGGTGTCCAAGTAAGTCTCAATTTTTGGCCTCTTTTGCGGAGGCCCGGAAAGGCAGTCGAATTCATGCGGGACATACAAGCAATTTTCATCGTCGCTACTACTTGAGCAACTTGACGACTAACTGTCATCAAGCAGCGGCAGCAGTAAAGCGGGCGCCACTTCGCGAGCGGATATTACGAATTCCTTTGAGGCAAGATCAGCGAGATGCCTGGCAAGAAAGGAAGTCACATGTGCGCGCCGAGGACTGGCCAGGCTGGTTTCCGATCGAATCCGCCAAAATCGGCAGAGCGACTTTTCTCGGATCCAGATCGAGATCTGGAGTGGGAGCTCATTCAAAACGACAAAAAGAACACGTCCGTTTAGATCCCGATCGCCCAGTGAAATGGCATGCTCCAGAAAAGTTGATCCCGGCGTGCTCCAAAACGACCGGTGGAATTCGCCTTTAGAAAAAAGATGCTGATCTATGGTACGTCTAAAAAGACTATGGTAGCTTTTCACAGGAAAGAAAGTTCATGTGAAATAACTTGCTTTGTGAGAGCTAATTTCCATCATCTATAGGCCCCCGAAAGCATGATCGGATACATTCTTCCAGATCATACATTTGTTTTACCGCAATCCATTGAAAAACTTATGAACGAGGTTATACTGTTGTAAAGAGCTTTGCGCCTAATGCGCACAACGACTGCACAAGGCTCACCCAACCGATGCCTATTCCTGAAACATGTTATTAAAAGCAGTCAAACATTATACAACATTACTACCTTGTGCGTGAAACAAGTACAATAAATGTGAGTCCTATACACCGACAGCCGTTCCCATTTGCGATTATAAAATCAAACATACGCAATTATGTATACAAGGCATATGTAATGCAACCTATTTTACTATTTAAGAGATCATGCAATTTCAATTTGGGTATGTGCGTCCATAAATGATAGTAGCAGCAGGCGTTGAAAAATGAATTTGACAGCAAAATGTTACGATTGGGCCCTTGAAAGTATCCTTTGATTTAAAACCCGTGTACATTGCAAAATTCAGACGTTATCCTCTTGTTTCAATGACAAATTCGAGTTATTGACACAAAGGCTAGCCACGAGAACAATGCACGAACACCGAATCTAACCGAGTACTCCCTGTCTGCCGATGTAGTTCGGCGGCTTCGCGAATGCCTGTCAGTACAACAACCAACCAATATTTTTATGTTTTTCTTCTGCCTGCTGTGTACAACGTTTGGTACGAAGTATATGTTTATTTAAGGAAGGCAGGCTCATAATTTACTTGTTTTTTACCCATCACAGTGCAGCTAAGCCTACGCAACACAGGCCACGACTCATGGCCTTCACCATAGCAATGGTGGTTGAAAGGCAATTTCTCTTCTCGTGATGAGTCACTTCAAGCTGAGTGCATACCTCCTATTAAAGGCTGCATAGCTGCTCAAGAATACTTGCAAAGCAGCCTGAAGACGAGTGAACAGTAGACTGGCAAAAGTGTTGCAGGATTGTGGCAATAGATTAGATGCCACCTGGCATTAGTTGGGCTATAACTTGAGTATGCGTCAACCTACCGTCTCGTCATTCCAGATGGCCTGCACCTGGGAGGCAAACATGACCAGGGTAAAGATGGCAAAGAGGAGTGCCTCGAAGATAAGCAGGATGAGCAGGATCACTGTGACTGCAGGAGATCCGCCTGAGCACTCTGTTTTTGAAAGAGACGGCACGAAAGTCAGGTCTATGATTACAGTGTGACACTGTCACTGTGTCCGCCATGACAAATAAGCAAACCAAATTCATCATTACTTACAGAGTGTATTTCTTTTTATGTAAGGTACACCGTTACTGGACTCGCAGAATAAAATAGCACTAAAAAATAGTTCATCAGAAAAATGCAGAAAATCAATTCTTTTTATCCTAATTGCAAATACCCTTCTCGTACACAGGACCAGTACAGATCACTGCATCCCCAGATGCAAACTCAGTTAGTAGTAACCCACTTGGCAGGAAAAAAAAAAAAAGCTTCATAAAAAAAATGACCGCATCTCCACGTGGTGAATGATGTTGATTGGGGCGAAGCTCTGGTGGTGCTGATGATACTGATTTTACTGTTCAAAGGTAGTGCTGATGATGCTGATTTTTTTTTATTGCTCATAGGTAGTGCCGAGTTCCGGGTTGCGTTTCGACTTCATTATTACTGCTCTATGGTCGGTGAAATGCAGAGCCAGTGGTTCTTCTAGAGGATCAGCTTGGATCCGCTAGAAGCCGTGGGAATGCATCTCCAATGCTTAAGTCAACGGTCCATGTCAGAAAGAGAATGTGTGGTATGGAACGTGGTTACATACGCATTTGAGCATTTGACCGCAGCGCCCTCTTGTCTATAAATGTTGAGCCAATGCATGCAAAGTTTAACGCGATTATATACGCATTTGACTGCAGCGCCCTCTCCTGTATAGACGTTGAGCGGCTACATGCAACGTTTCATTCATGAGAGAAACCCCAGCTCTTGAGTTACTACCACATCTCAAAGCCCCCTACTCGTCCCGCAGTCGTGGCCGAGTGGTTAAGGTGATGGACTAGAAATCCATTGGGGTCTCTCCGCACAGGTTCGAATCCTGTCGACTGCACAAACATTTTTTCTTTTTATGTGAGCAAGAACGCTGGCCGGACGGACGGACGGACAAGGCTAGACCCTAAGGAGCTTCGCCCCTAAAATTTAGTAGATTGGAAAAGATACCTGAAGGAATACAATAACTTAAAGTTTAAAACCTTAAGCTAAAAAAAATGGTTACCTATTAAAAAAAAAATAATGGCTTAAGCAAACAATTACTAAAGGACACACCCAATAAGCAAAGCGTACACATCACTAGACAAAAAACATCTTACACACTTTATCTGACATAATTTTATCACTTTACAAAGTACCATAACAAAAATTTGTTGGCTAATGCAATCCTGCACCTTTCAAATATTTGTAATGATCAACAGATAGAGCATACTTTTTTAAATACTTATAGGTGGCACCTCAGACCGTACATGCTGCATCACACTGCAGAAAGCTTTCTGTTATTTCCTTCATATTTCTTTGTCACGAACCTCTGACCTTATGGTTCAAAGTCGCACCATTTGAGAAGAATGAAATGACATAGCAAAAGTCACAGGATGGCTCTTGCAGTCTCATTATTCCTGCTCGGCATGAGGCGTGCCCTTTCTTTTGTTTCCTTTTGAAGTCTGTATGAAACTCTTGATTGTTAGATAAAGAATTCAAGGACTGCTTCTGAGGATGTTGACTTGTTAGTACCTCGTCTGTAGAAAGATGATACATATATGATGCCAGACGACATCTTCAGAAGTGTGCGCTGCTAGAAAAGCAGGCTGAAGAAATAATCATCTAAAACCACAAGACCCCTTTTGCATGAAGGGCACCACCAGCAAGAAATGAAAGCTCTTTAAGCAAAAGTTGGAGATGCACTTTATTGTGGCCCGTGACAAGCCGTTGAGTGGCACTGCATAGAATTTGTTGCTTCGGGGAGTGGTTAGAGAAGATGCTACCGAGGTAATTAACAATTTCCCGTTCATTAAAGGTGTAAGTGGTGCACATTATGGAAATGCTGTAACAAAGTTTGACAGTTACTGGGACGCTCACTCGAATTAAGTCTACAAGCGGTAAATATTCTGAAAAATAAATCCAGGTGGCAGGAGAAACCTTCTAAATGTTTCTTCAGGGCATGAAGACTAGTACTTGCAACTTCGAGGGACAGACAGAGTCCATGATTCACGGCCAAATTGTAATTGGCATCAACCACGACAGCTTGCGGGTAAAGCTTACGAGACAAACAATGCACCCTGGCCAAGGCTGAACAAATGTGTGAGGCTTCTGAAGCGGCAGCTCTTTAAACGTTCATGCTTTTGAAGAGAAGCCTGCTTTAGGAGTTTTGGTGAAGAAAAAGGAAAGGAGATGAAGCCAGTGACAACAAAATAACAACAACAAATGGTGAAAGTGTGACAGGGAACACAAGATATGCAACTTCCCCGCCTCAACAGGAGCTGTAGGGCATGCTAGGCAAAAAAGACATCGCTAGTGAGTGAGCTGAAAGAACATGAAGATGACTTCGAGATTCCGGACCGTGGCACTGACAGCATGACAAGCCGTTGGGAGTGGGACGTCAAGGCGAACATTGCCCGTGAAGAAGTTCTCGTTAAAGGGACACTGACAGGGTATTTATGCTCACCGAGGTTTTTAGTTGTATGTGACATATGAGAGCCCAACTACACAGAATAGAATTTGCGGCTCGAAATTCAATTTCTTTTCGCCGGAAAACCATCGATCAAGAACTGGCCGGTTTGAGTCGCTCTCACTCTCTTTTCCGTGGTCACAGGCAGTTTTCTAAGGTTTAGACACGACCACCAAATTTAATCAAAGTCGTGGGCCATTGAAGGCACACAGTCAATACTAAAAATAGAAAAACAATGAAACTAATTTTTTGTGGCTTCTGAAAAGCTGCAAATACGTTGATTGAAACAAAAAGGTTGCACAGACAACCGGAAGCATTCTGTGCGTTCGCTGCATAATTCTCAACATGGCGTCGTTTCGAGTTTTGTGGGACTCGCGGGTGGCAGCGGACGACAGGCGTGGGACCTCTACTTCAGGACTGTCGTTCACGGTACCGGCGAACTCTGTCTTCCTTCGAAAGAGAAATTTGGGACCAATCAAAACAATTGATATTCATCCTGTACAACACGCCCGACCAGCAAGCCGATTGCACGAAGACGTCGCCAAGCCGTCGTCCCTTCTCGTGGCTTAAGACATCGCTTGCTCAAACGTGAAGCACGAAGTGTGTACTTCGAGTTGAATGCACACGTGTACGATTTCTTTACTAGGTGCGAATGTGGCCAATGCACGGTGCTGCCCGACTTCAAGCTGGGAGTGCACGTACTGGAAGAAAATGGGCAGCAAATTTTCCGACATACAGTCGACTGGCTGCATTACTACGAATGAAAGAGTTCCTTTAGTAGCTCAGTGGAAAGATGTCCGCTTCACACGTGGCAGGCACGAGTTCAATCCCTAGTGTGGGTGCACCATTTTTTTTTTTTTTTAAACATTTTGCGATGTTTACATTTCTTTTTTTTACAATTATCACTGAAAAAAACAATTGTTGTGGACGATACGTCGCTGAACTAAATGGCATGGGATTCCATTTTTGACACATCTGCCGCACAATGCCACTTTCAGATGCAGGACGTGTGAGGCAGCTCTTCACGCAACATCTTGGGAGTATTCTTTTCGGAGCTGATCATGGGAATTCACCACGGGCACTCACTACTAATTGCCAACACTTAAATGTACAAAACAACTCATCTTGATGTACAGAACAGCGAGCGGAACAAACATAACTGCAAAGGAATCGAACGGCGAACAGATCCCGCAACACATTTCGTGTGCTGCGTGCAGAAAAAAAAGAAAACAATTGCACGGTCGGGTGTAGCCACGTGACTTCCGCCACTCACTCTCTCCTCTCCACATCTCCGTGCAGTGCGGGTGTTTCGGTTTTGAGCAGTTGCGTTTTTTGGCTTTATTAAAAAAAATACATGACTCAGCAGCAAAATATTAATTGGGTAGTATTCCCACACCATAATAAATCGCCTGGCAAAGAATGAGAAAAACTTTTTGGGGGTGTCAGTGTCCCTTTAAACTTGACACCAGATCAATGCCAAGCGAACATTCTTCACAGAAAAATTCAAATCAAGGTGCCCCACGAGTAGAGCAGTTCCACCCAGCAATTTTACACCGGGGGTACGATAGAGCACATAGGTGCCATTAACAAGCAAGTGGCCTTTAAAAATAGACGCTGTTGCTTGAATTTATTTGTTGTCAAGAAAGAATGTCAGGTGTTACTTGATCTACAGACAATCTTGAACTGGATTTGGTTTCAGATACCATAAACTCTGTGAAACAAACAGTCCTGAACGACTAGTGCAAGGGTCCAGCAAGCTTACTGAAGGCACCAGACGCGTATGGAGCCAATATAGAATAGTGCTACGCAAAGACGTCATTCTAGTTGCCTAAGCAGCTCAACATGTACCTCTGACCTTGTAGGAACTGCTGTGTGATGAGCTAAAATGAATGCGGCAGGCTCGAATCATAGCCAATGTCAAAATCAGCCAATAGACTGGATGAGTCCTTGAGCTAATGTCAAAAAGAACAGAAAGTTAAGAGTGCATGCAACCGAGAAAAATCAATGTGTGCATAAATCAGGCGCACCATGAGATGCCAAGGTGTGAAGGCATAGAAGCAGAACTGTCAAGCATGAAGGAGTGAAGCAGCCTTGACGAAAAGGCCGGTTTTCGTCTGATCCCTTTTCACAAATAGGCGTCAAGGATTTGTACCTTAGCAACACCCTTCAGACGATAGAGGTCCCTAAATTTCTGTTTGGAATCTTGTAAGCATCAGTGGTCTTTTAGAAGACTTCAAGCAAGTGGTTCGATTGATTGTTTGAAGTTCACATGTATCTGGGTAACCCTTTGGTGCAGCGAACATCCTGAGAGCAGCAAATATGTGCCTAAGATCTATGCTTGAAGCCACCAAGCAAGATGGATTAATATTTCATTCTAAAAATCAAACATTGCAGATTGAAAAAAAATTATTTTTGGGCGATATAATTTTTTAAGAATACATAATACCCAACCGTGAGCTCATCAAATGCATGAAACAGATTCCGACTCCATCTGACAAGTTTTGTATGCAACGACTGCTTGGTGTCATTACTAATTTCCTTTCGGAGCACCTTCCTTTTCTGGCAGACACACACAGCTTGATCAAACATATGTTCCTCAAGTTTAAATCCAACCACACAAAGAACTGCAAATACCAATGCCATGAACCTCCCGAGGTTCGAGTTCAAAAGGTTTCAAACCTCTTTAAAGGCAAGCTTGGGCGCTTTATCAAGCTACCCAAAACAAGCACGTTTCCAAAATACCCAGGCTTTAGTCTTCTCGGCATGCTATTTATTATCTCTAAATTCAAAACAGCTACTGAGTCAAACGAAGGTCATGCAAAAAACAACATTCAAATTTTCCCGCACTTTCCAGTGGAGTGACGTCACATGTCAACTTGTGTCTGCCTGCTCAACTTGCAAGTTGAGCAGGCAGTCGAAATAACACAGTGTTTTGTGCATGTTTGCATGTTTTTTCCTTTTGCTGATGTGAACTTAAGCAGCATTCAGTTCACACCATCAAACTTCTCCTAACCTGTTAAGATCCTGTCAAAAAATAAGGACTCCCCCGCGAGATCCTTGAACATTTATATCAATGTGCATCACCCACGAAAACATCAAGGGTGAAGGCAACCCACCAACAGTTTGACCATGTGTTGCTGACTAATGCCAGGCATCAAACAACATGATCTCATGATCTACACAACCATACTGGGCATGTCTGACAATAAAAGAGGATTTTTAAATTACCCTCGAATAGACTACACCTGTAGACAGTCTGCACTGCATAGAATATCAACTAAGCAGGCATACTTCAGCAAATACGGCACAAAAAAGAAAATGTCTGCTATAATCACTGTTCACTTTCCGCTTCAACCGCCAAATGTCTGAAGACGTGCAGAAGAAAAGAAAAGCACTCACTCTTCCACTCGCTGTTGATGCAGCCCACAAAATGATTTACTGCCAGAAAGAAGGAGTGACTTGAGATGATGGCAATATACAGCTGCAAGGAAAGATACAGTAAAATGAGCACAAGCAAAAATGTTATACTACTACCAAAATGCATGTCTCCACTTGGGCAGTTAAAAAGTGACTGCAACACATCAGAGTCTGGTATTCTACCTTATCTGGACAAAAACCCAAAATAAAAAATGACCGCATCTCCACGTGGTGAATGATGATGATTGGGGCGAAGCTCTGGTGGTGCTGATGATACTGATTTTGTTTATAGGTAGTGCTGATGGTGCTGATCTTTTTTTTTATTGCTCATAGGTAGTGCTGAGTTCCGGGTTGCGTTTCGAGTTCATTATTACTGCTTTATGGTCGGTGAAATGCAGAGCCAGTGGTTCTTCTAGCGGATCAGCTTGGATCCGCTAGAAGCCGTGGAAACGCACCTCCACCGCTTAAGTCAATGGTTCATGTCAGAAAGAGAATGTGTGGTATGGAAAGTAGTTATATACGCATTTGAGTATTTGACCGCAGCGCCCTCTCGTCTATAAACGTTGAGCCAATGCCATGCAAGTTTTAACGCAATTATATATGCATTTGACCACAGTGCCCTCTCCTGTATTCGCGACTCCAACTAACTATAGGTGGCGCCACTCATTTTCCAAGATGGCGGGTTTAGTGAGGGTCAGAGATGCGTACCGCTGTTGAGCCTGCCTAGTGTGCTGGCGTCACTGAGCGACATAAATTATTTCTGGTAATACGAGGAAGCTAATGTTTTATGAGCGCAGGTCACCTCTTTGACCCGAAAACAAGAACGGTGTTTAGCGTATTAATTACGGAAGGATGCGCGTTTTAATTTTGGAGCGAAACCGAAACTTACCTCTATTTTGGATTTAATTTCTCGATAGATGTCTTAATTTCGGATTCTTTCATGACTCAAGATGTGTCTCACATCGTAATTATTTACTTAGAAAAGCTGTTCGCGGAAACTTTATTTTGTGACATGCTGTTCGATCCAGGCTGATATTCGTTGTTGTTGAAAAAATCAGTGCTGATATCTGTGCGTTCTCGCTGCCTTTTTCTCGCTCAGATAATTGCCATGGGAAATAATGACAATTATCCCAGCACAAGAATAAGAGAATAATTCCAATTTTTACAATATGTCCACGAAACGCATAAACTAATAAACGCTACTCTCACTGCAATAACCCAAGACGAAATCCGAGTCAGACAGCTGAAGTGTGTGTGTGTGTGTTTTTATAGCACCGCGTGACGCGTAGGACTTCATATTACATCCAGCGTTTAACTGTTTGTCTATCTTGATAACTATGTTAGAGTTTTACATATGCTAAAAAGAAAACAGAATTATACCTTTCTCGAAAGACTATTATGGTTAAATAGAGTATTCTCGTGATCTTGGCGTTAATTAGATGGGCAGTCGAACTCTAGTTAAATAGAAACGTCCAAAGTCGCCGCCAATATACTTCCAGACCAAATGCCCAAAAGTTAAAAAAAAAGCCTTTTTTAATTACTAGTTTTTTCATAACATTTATTTACTTTTGTATTTGCTCACCGTCGTTTTGCCAATCTCATCCTTTCCAGTTCGAACGAACGCCTACCTGCTTGCACGTCTGCTCACTGCAGCACGTTTCGTTGGCGTTACAGCCGGTGAAACAGTAGTGAGTTTTAATATTGCGTATACGAGCGAACTCAAGCCCTGTGTTTGCGTTAGCTTTGCGCGTTCCACACTGCGCGTGCGCGGAGCCCGAAATTGCGGTCTTGGATGGCTCATGGCGATGAGGCGCACGCACAACGTGGGACGCGCAACTCTAACGCAAACGCACACCGCTTGCGTTTGCTTCTATGCGCAATACTAAAACTCTCCAGCAAGGTACAATCCCATACCGGCTGCAGCACTACGTTGGGACAGTTAAGAGTGTTGTTTGCATTCGGAAACGACATTTCGCGAGCCATGATCGCGAGCAGTTCCGCCATGCCCGCTGAGCAGGAGAATCGGGGGACCCTCACTAGCGCGCTTCCCGTTTCCGCCGCGGGAGGGCGAGCGTCGAGCTGGAGGCGCGAATAGACGTTGAGTGGCTACATGCAACATTTCATCCATGACAGAAACCCCAGCTCTTGAGTTACTACCACATCTCAGAGCCCCCTACTCGTCCCGCAGTCATGGCCGAGTGGTTAAGACGATGGGCTAGAAATCCATTAGGGTCTCCCCGCACAGGTTCGAATCCTGTCGACTGCGCAAACATTTTTTTCTTTTTTTAAGAAGACAGATGGGATGGCGATCGATGTGAGCACAAACGCCGGACGGACAAGGCTAGACCCTAAGGAGCTTCGCCCCTAAAATTAACAAAGGATCACTGTCAAGGAGGAATGGTACTACCTCATTCAATGGAAACATGCTTATGTAATCTAAAGTTGCATCTCTTAAAAGTTCAATCAGAAGCACAGAACTGACACACTGTTCTGGAAAGAGTTCGAGGCCCAGTCCCCTAGTTTGCCATACAGCTTACTCCTCAGTATTATCCTGCGAGTATATAACAGATTTTCACTATTAGCATATCGACCTGAATTAATCCCCTGGATCAACGAAGACCCTCATCTGATATATCCACGATTAACCCCATGTCCCACTGTGTCATTCACTTTCCAGTATTCTTCCAATGTTTCTGCTCTGTTAGTTGACTCAAATGCATTGTGTAATTCCCTGTAGTTTTCTAACATAATGCTTAAAGGGACACTGACAGGGTATTTATGCTCGCCAAGGTTTCTATTCGTACACGACATAAGAGAGCCCAGCTACCCAAAACACAGCTTGCGGCTCGAAATTTGTTGTTTTTCTCCCGAAAATTGCCTATCGAGAACTGGCCGGTTTGAGTCGCGCTCACACTCTTCTCTGTGGTCACATGCTGTTTAGACACGCATACCAAATATAATCAAAGTCATGGGTCATCGAAGGCACACACTCAATATTAAAAATAGAAAGAAAAAAAAAAACATCAAACCCATTTTTTTGTGGCTTTTAAAGCTGCAAATATGTTGATTGCAAAAAAAAAGTTCTGCAAGGTACCGGAAGTACATTTATAGTGTAATTATCAGTAATTATCAACATGGCATTGTATCGCTGAAGTCGCGGGCTGGACAAAGCGGACTAAGCGATGGCAAAGGACGACACGCGTGGAAGCTCTACTTCAGAACTGTCCTTCACAGTACTGGCAAATCTGTCTAGCTTCGAAAGATAACTTTTTTACCGATTAAAACAATTAGTCAGTGTCCCTTTAAACATGTATAACATTTAGCCCTACACACTGACATAACATCCAATGTTAGAGAATAATATAAAAATGGCCAATCATCAAAGTGCCAATATTTATGAAGCTTAAGGCCCGTTGATACACTTGCGACTTCTTAGGACCGTGTGCCTTGAAACCTCTTAAAATCTTTTATGACGAGAGAACACACACTGGCGCCACCTATTGGGCAGCCGTGGAACCCTTGGCAGTCCCGTATATTTCATCTCTTTGCGCACATCCTTCTCTTTCTTTCTTGACTTGGAAAACTTCTGTCAACGTTATAAACAACCAATCCTCATAAGTAATAAGTAAAACCTCGTTATAACAGAATGGGATATAACAAACTAATGGATATAACAAAGCAATCATAATTCCCCTTGCTTGCTAATAGTGGGAAGAAATGGACAATGGCTATAACAAACTAATGGTTATAACAAAATAGTTACGACCGCTCCTTCAACCTTGTTATAACGAGGTTTTACTGTACATACATTTGACCTCTCAAATACCACCAAACCCTTGCTCTAGTGAAATGCAGTTCCAGGGTCACCGCATAAATCGTGCCAGTGTATTTTCTACTCATAAGAGATTTTAAGGCGCTCGGTCCCAAGAAATCGCAGGTGTGTGAACAGAGCTTTACACAAGAAGTTAACTGTAAAAGAGAGGCAAGCTGATTAACTTTCAACAATGCAAAAACTAAATGTCAGTGAAGAAGAAAATGGACAAAGCATACAAAGATCTAGTTTTACTAGATTTCAGGTTGGAGGATTGGGCACGGCGATGCCGGACGTCGCAGGTGTGAGAGAAAAAAAAGTATAAGTCAACCAACTGCCAGAACCTTCATTCCCGCCTCTCTCCCCCCCACCGTTAAATATCGGGCAAGCGCCCACTCAAAATTTAGAGATAATCGCGAAAAAATGGGGGATGGGCGCTTGTCCGGTCATCAATTTTACATATAAATGTACTGTGCATATTTTTTTCATATCTTAGAAATTTGGATATGGGCACTTAATGTGGAGTGGGCGGATGCGCGGTATTCTACAGTATGTCGACCAATTCCTACAAACTAGGATTGCCACCTTTCCCTGAAAAAAAAACCAACCCTTCGATGGGGCGTGGGGGGGTAGGTATACATTTTTTTGTTTTTGTTTTAGGAGATTGAATTTGTGTTCAAAAGAAGACGCCATGTGAAGCACAAATACACAACACTAAGCTAACCAACTAGTCTGCTTGTTGGCATAAGAATTTCAGTGAATGGAATAACATTTGTGCTGCACTGAAAAGTAATCACACATGAAATGCTCTTCTTTGCAACTAAATCCACCAAACCAGTGACATTATATACACAAACAAATGTTAAAAGCATACGATGCTGATGCCAGAATGTGCCGGATATTCATACATACATACACACACGATAATATGCAATACGCAAAACAACGCAGAAAAGTCAAAGGTAAAATTTTATATGCTCGCTTTTTTCTATATTCGGAACTTGAATGTATATTTCGAATTCGACCTAGCTGCTCAGATGAGCTGCTTGTTTTCTCTCGCCTTCTTTATAAAGTCGTCACGGCTATACATACACCAAATTATACCGCATACAGAGCTCCGCTTTAACCATTGGGACGCTTAGCCAATTTCTTTCATCCGTCCACAAGTTCCCCATCCACTAAAGACGCGTTCCACAAACGCATTGCTGAAGGGTATGGAGAAAACATGCTCCATTAGGTTCTGCAAATGGGGGCACTTGACCTCTTTCAAGAATTTCAGCCAAATCGAGCTCGATTTTTCGTCATGTCCTAGAAGTCCAAGAGAGTATCCCTCAGAAGACAAAGCTCCGGAAACAGTTTATCGCCTTCCTCTTCAAAATTTATGCCAAAAAGCTCTCCTGCATTCATTACAACTGATATGCTGGGTGTACCTTTGCACAGATCCAATTTGGCAAGCCTCTTAAACAGGGAGTTCTCGAAATCAAACCACTTTTCAAGGTATGCAAGGGCCCTGTCATAGACCTTCACGAAGTCCAGCGTTGGAACTTGTCCGTCCGAAAGGATTTCCAGTCCCTGATTAACCTTGACACCGAAGAACATATCATCCTTTTGGTTTATCAGCTACTTCCTGAGCTTAGCCATTACAGTGTAAAGTTCTGTCGGCTCAAGGTGACTCTTATCAAGGGTTAGGATCACTGAACGAAACATTGCAAGGAATGAGTGTATGAAGTGCACTCATTCCTTGCACTTCGGAAGCGTGACACACTCCAAAAGTCCATCAGCTTGGTTGCCAATAAAACTGCACATTATTTTTTCGCATTCCTCCTCGCCCTGACTTAGAAAGTAGGATTTGATGGGCGCCCAGTTCTTAACCAGTCTGTCTAAGGCCACAAAAACAAGCTTAACCAACAGACAGAAATATGACCCAGCACTTTACTATATTCCTGATCACAGGAGTCGAACAACGTCTTCAATTCCTCTACACCAGGGGTCTCAAAAACGCGGCCCGCGAATCGCTGGGATGCGGCCCACAGGCAACCAACCGGCTACAAGTCCCGGTCTCCATGCCTCGAGCACTAGAAATGGCATGCACCCTCGTGATCTCAACTTGCCAATTCATTTTCGCTCGAAAAGTAGCTCCGCTCTTCTAACGTATTCATATAGTTTTTACTTATCTGTGTTCATTTGCCCCTTTGTTTCGCTTTATGCTTTGCTTCCCAGTTTTTTGTAATGTACAACAATTCAGCTACTAGATCAATGTGGCGAAGCAGACGAGTTGGTTCATGATTACAACTGGTAGCAGTGCGCAAATAACACAAAGTCATTAAATGTTCAGTTGAAGTTCAGCGCTCGTATTGTGCATTTCTCCCTTTGTTTTTGTGCAATGTGTGCGCTGCTACCAGTTGTAGTTCGCTACTAGGCTGAAAGCACAAACTCTTTGTTGAAGGATGCATCTCAACTGCGCAAACTCTCGATCAGCGGGAACAAAGGCCGAAGATAAAGCTACGAGCTCGGGATTCTCGCCTTAAAAAAAATATATCACCATTAAAAGACAAGCATGTGTGTCGTAAAGGAAATCGTCAATAAAGCAAGAACTGCCAAATGAACTGATTGTTTTTTTAGAGACATGTTAAGCTTGGTTGATTTCTGAGTGAATTGAGCAACAAAAACGACAGTGTACTTGCTCTCTTGTTCTATTAAAAATGTGAGCACATTGGCGGGGTGGTGTCATTTTAATTATTGTTATCATATAAGGTCAGGCCCCAAAGTGGCCATATAAATAAACCAAATCTAAAGATGTCACTGGCAAAACTGAGTTTCAAAAAGCATAGAGCACGAAGAAAAAAACAACTATGGAGGTCCGGAGGGAAAGGAAGGTCTAGGAGGAAGCGCATATGCTGAGTGTCATTGGACACGCGATAGCGCCGTGCGCCTTTGTCAAGATACAAAAACTGTAAAACCAATGCCTCCCAAAAGGCATATTAATAGCCTCACAGCTATCAGCAAGGCACGTGATTATTTTATGGCAAGTATCTGGAAACAGTTGGAAAGAAAGTCTGAAAAAATGTTTGGAAAGAATACAAAAGAAACGAGAATGTCGGTGTGTTCTTTTTGATTGTGTATGATGGCTCCTCTCCAGCAGTGCATGCTAGCAGGAACAATGAGCCGGCACTCAACGTGCAGCTCCTATTCGGCCTATTCTCTGTCACTTTGGGACACAGGCAGCCTACGAAGTGGCAACAGCCGCCAGAGACGCCCAGCTCTCTTCCTAGACATCGTCGGCGCGTTTCTCTGTCCTTGGTGCTTAAACAATTAAATGTAGAACAAACAGGGAGGAAAACAAAAACAACGAAGGTCTGAAGTAACCACAATATTACACCATGTGTAGTGGAAGGGGAAAGTGCATACGCCGTCCGTCTCAGTGGACCGACGAAGTGCCGTGCGTGTCTTTGTCAAGATGCCGACAGTCTTTAAAAAAAACACCTCCCAGAAGGCACAGTTATCGGGTGGGCCTGTCACCAAGTTGTCCGCCAGTGTATTGCTTTTTCTCCCTCATTTTGCTGCTTTGTACAGCGCTCCCGGTGGTCGTTCCGTTTTGTGTTGTCCCTCCTACCCATCTTCCTCCTCTCCCTTTGCCCTCCGTCTCAGGGAGCACGCTTGCCCGCATACTTTCTCTGCTCGCATGTCTTCGCGGTGTTTGTATAATTTTATACTTTTTTTTTTTTTTTTTCGTCGACAAGTATTTATTGTTGTAGTTGTTGAACTGTCGCTTAAAAGCACCAAAAAAATAATCGCGATACGATGGCCAGAAAACCGGCCAATGGCGTCCGGTCTTAGGTACGGACTAGAAAACCGGTTGGGCCGGTCACAAACAGGGCAGGTGGCAACCCTACTAATAATGCCACCATCATGTGTAGGCGATCGAAACGTGACGGACTAACAAAAGCTTGGTTTTTTTCCCGACTCGCTCCGAGAACCATTCCAGACCTACTGTACTACTTCCATTTGGCATGCACCACAAAGTCCAGAGGCGACTCACGGTGAAGAGGACGAAAAACTTCTGGTTGTTTTCCCCGATGCAGTTGTTCACCCACGGACAGTGGTGGTCCATCTTTCGGATGCACCGCTGGCACACGCTACAGTGGTGCGCTCGCTCGGGCTTGAGGCAGCTGCACTTGGGGCACTTGTAGACCAGGCGCCCTTCCCGAAGACCCAGCTGTTCCACCGCCTCCTTGGTCGCCGTTCCCCGCATCACCGCACCCTGGCAGCACACGGGGCGGCACCTTCAGTGCCCAGTCTTGTGCGAGAAAAAAAATCCCAGACTCACGGGGTCGGTCACCATGGTGCGGACGTGGGAGAAGACCGCCAGGAATGCGAGCACCTCGAAGATGACCAGGTTGATGGCGCCGTAATAGGTGTGGGCCACGGGCAGCAGGATAACTCCCACCACAACATACCTATAAGCAAAACATGGTCTTGGGCTCGTGAAGTGGGACGTACCGAAACCTCCAGTTTTAACGCTGTCACATACTGCAGATTCATTCCGTTTATACAACGCTAAAAAACCAACTGGTATGTGGCCGAAGCATTAAAAAAACAGCCGGTTGTTTGGCCGCCCGATTAAAAATGGAGCCTCTGCTAAGCCAAACAGCCTTGGTCGGGAATGAGCACACTCGATGCTTCTTGTGTCTTCTCCGATTACAGTCTAAGCTCATTACAACAGACCTGTTTACAACAGACATTTGGATATAGCATACCGATTTCTGAAGTTCAGTTGGTTTTCCTCTACATACCATTGACTCAACTGCAGATCTGCATACAACATACTCCTTTTACAATAGACCGAAATCTTGGTCAAAATCAAGGTCTGTTATAACGAGCTTAGACTGTATATATATACTTTGGTATTCAAATAGTTTTTGCAGAGGATGGAAGTGTTAGGATAAATAGGACAAAATAAAGTATTCGAATAAATGGGAAAAAAATGTGGCTACATATTTTGCTACAATATAAAATGTAGTAGTCAGAAGGGTAGGAATTATATAGATTTCAGTGGCAAAGTTGCACCACAGTTATTTACACATAATTAAAGCATTTTCCCAACTGTCCAAGTGAAATAATGCTAATGCTTTTTCTGCATGCGATAAAATGCTGAAACAAATGAAAAATTATGAGAAAACAATTTTGCCAAAAACGTTAACGAAATATGCCGTAAAAGCAGGTTTTAAATACTTTTCCCAATGCATGCACCTGCTTTTGCGTGAGTATCATTATATAAAGTAAAATATGCAACAAGATAGACTTTTACACAGTACTTCAAAACGCTGCGCGAGTCAAATGGATTGTTGACCCTTTGAAGAAACTGCGTAAATCACTCTTTAAAGCATCAAGCCAAGATTTTCTACAGAGGTGGCTGAAGATGATGCATTTTGTGCATCAAAATTTTAAAGAATGAGCTTACCTGAGTAATAAGCAAAATATTTAGAGCGTGAATTTGGTGCCTACCGTGTCCGTGTGCCAAAGAAAGGCGTCTGGGTGACACAACAGTCAACAAATGGTGGCAGCGGTTGACATATAGCTGAACAAATAATCTTTCTTGTTGGTTGTGCCTCAATTCAAGGTGATTTACCAGTAAAAAAAAAAATTAAAAAACATGCACTACATTGAAAAATTTTGCGCCACATTTGACTCAAAAACATTGTCTGCTATCCGAGATACGTGTCTGCACCCTTGCTTTTACTGGTCTCAATCTGTAAGGTGTTGTGCCAATCAGATGCTTTTTGTTAGCAGATGGTCACCATAGGTAGCGAAATCAAGTTCATAATGTTTTAATCTCTATTCGGGTAAGTTCATTCTTTGATATTTGGATGCACAAAATGCGGCACCTTTGGTTACCTTTGTAACAAAAAAAAAAAAAAAAAACCTAGCACCGATGCGATAGAAAACCAATTTTTATGCAGTCCCCCTCAAAGGACCAACAATCTATTGGACTTGCATTGTTTACAGGACTTGTCAACTGGGGTATGATATATATTTGGTAGCGATATTAAAATGCAACCAATTTCTTGAAATCTACACACTGCACCGAAAAACCATTGGTGCCAAATCAGACATTGCCAAGAGGCCAATCTAGAGGGATACACTGCATGACACTGTTAGCGCAAAAATGACTGACACTTTTTTTTTTTAATTTTGCTTGGAATTGCAAAAGTGTGGAAGTGCACCAATCTAAAGACCACTGTGGTTGTTTTGGGGCACTTTAAATATAAATTATTATTATTATTATTATTATTATTATTATTATTATTATTATTATTATTATTACTTCAAAAGGATACTGACAGGCATAAAAATTTACCACTTAGTTGAGTACCACAACTGAGCACTTTCTACCACTATAGTAGTTTTTACATCAGTCCTTCAATAACAATGCAAATGGCGGAGCACATGACTTTCGATCCATGCTGTGCCCCCTGGAGGGCCCTGGGAACTTACGAAAGTGTGCAGTGTAGAAGGGGGCAGCAAAGGTGTAGGTTCTACCACTGGATAGGCCACAGCACTAGGTTTTTTACATCACCTACAACTGGCCAGTGAGGGATGCAGATTGGACATGAGTGCTGTGTCTGCATCTGGCTGCGACTTGTGTGCAATTAGTGAGAACACGAACCCCAGCCCAATACTGATACAGCACTCGCGCTACAGCTTTGGTATATAGGACGTGTTGGCGGGACCCACACCTTCGCAGCCCCCTTCTAATTCACATCAATAGAAATTCTCAGGGGTCTCCAGGTGGTGCAGCACGTAACAAAAGCCATGCATTTTAAGGTTCACATTTCATAGCCACCTCATAGCACCTCAATAAATAGGCCCCTTGAGAGGGACAACTACAGTAACAATCTTAGTTCTGTGCAATGCATAGCTTTTACACAAAAATTCTGGCCGATGTTTGGTGAAGCATCTTGTAAATGAAATAATGAACAACTTAATTGCCATTTCAAATCATCAAACACTCATTCTGTGAGACAGATGTGAACTCATACCTGCACTGTTGCCTTCCTGCTATTTCTGCATAAAGTATTCCTTAAATAGCCTAGATATTTCAGTAATTCTGATTATAACATTTTGAGGAACAAATCATAAACCAATGGCCATAAAGTCCTCACCAAGTATCAAATGCTCACTTTCCAAAACAGATTGGGGAAATGAGAGATAGATGTGCATTTTTCATCGTCTACTGCCCAATTATTTGTGGCCTAAAGTAGAGCAATATGCACTTTCTCCACTTGCTCCAAATAAAAGATGTCTGCTAAATTCTGGGAAAAAAATTAGGAATGCCAAAGTGGTTATACTTTCTGCCTAGAAAACACACTTTCAATAGTCGAAGCCAGCAACTCTTGTTATAGAGGAGCTACGGCATCAATTGGAATGTTTTCAACTAAACATTATTTCTGAAAGCGCACAAGAAACTGAGTCTAGAGCAGCAAGTAAATTTACCAAAAACTTTTTAAATAACTTTTAATTGTAGAATTCCGATATAACTGAAACCGAAACTAGCCTGCAACGTTACTGGTTTGCCATCTTCTAGCGACATCAGATGTTGTATAAACATCAGCACGTGGGCAGCCTGAGCCTGTTTCGCCCAGCGTCAGAAGCAGTCAGAAGGCCGTTGCGATTGTCCGTGGAAAATAATGAACTAAGACTCATCAAGCTTATCCGAGTCAAGCAATGACCAGCAAATGTTTTAAAGGGGCCCTCCGGAGCTTTCTGCGATCGTCTGTTTATGTTGTTATATTGCGTAGTAGGTGCAAGTTAATATGTATACAAAGTTTTAGATTACAAAACCTGTTATTAAGCAGATGGCAGAAGAAATCTATCGGGACTATTTTCTCTTGGAAGACAATCCTTCATTCCCTGCCCATCGCTAAAACTTGATCAATGGAAATGCTGCATCTCACGGTGAATGCGAACGTTATTATTGCAACACTTTTTAAGCTTGTTGTAAATTAGAGTGAGAAAAATGTAAACTGATTGTGGTGCGGGAAACATAGTCCGCAATTATCGCTTCTAAACCAGCGAACTATGTTTTCTCCCCGCAAGCTTGTTGCTAGGGGGTGATGCGTTGGCGCGTCGGCTCGTCTGCTTCCCGGGCCGTCTTCAGGCGTGCGTTTGCGGGACACGTGTTCCTTCTTCCCGTGGATCCCGACTCCGAAGCCAGCTTTGCGATCCTTCCACGTCAACGAGTCAAACTTTTCCTTGTCATCTGTGGAATGCGACTGCGCATTGCAGTAGCAGCGCGACGGTGCGATGCGACGAACGACGAGTGCCGAGCACAAAGTCCGGGCCCCTTGACGACGGTCCCCGCGTGTTCGAGAGATCCCTCCGCGAGTCGGCGGTCGGCCGCGTTGGTGACGCGCAGTGACGCCGGAATCCTTCGCTTGCTATTGGTTGACGCGTAAAGAGATGCCCCTCCCGTTTTCCGGGGTCATCTCAGAAAGGGGGGCGTGCCGGAGACTTTGATAGCAATTTTAATAGGGAAATCCGCCGCGCATGACCGTAATTTTATGATTTTTAGGATCCTTAGGGCCTGTAGATTGAGTTACCGCCATAAATAGACCATCGCAGAACGCTCCGGAGGGCCCCTTTAAGATTCTCAGAGATTGCAGACGATTTACCGTTCACATTCGATCAGCCGGCATCGCCTCCGAGGGGAACACCCGTAGCGGCTGCATTCGCGATCCGCCGATATGTGGACCCAGATGCCGCTTGAGAAGCAGATTGGTAAGGAAGGTTTTGTTTGCTACCACAATGCAAACTGTTTTCTAGCACCATGGGAATGCCATAGAGCCAGCGTATGCATTGGACTGCTCGGACCAGGGTGTAAGATAGACAGGGGGGGAAACGGCCCATTGAAGCCTACCGCAGCGCCGTGACCGGATTGTGTACTCGTCTGCTTGCGGGTACCCCCGATTTGCGACAGATGGCGCTGCGGCGAGAGGAAAAAAATCGGAATCGGATTTGCATGGAACTTTATGGGAGAGTGCGGAATATAAACCGAGAGCATGACAGTCCTCCATTTGAAAATCCACGAGAAACCATCTCCGACAGTTTAGCCGGTCGCCACCGGTCGCCCACCTGGAGTGAAAGTTCGCGGTGCTCCACATAGATGGCGCCACAGAAAAAGAGAAAACCGAGGGGGACACAATCCGGTCGCTCATTTGGCTCTGGTTTCCCCACCTGTCTATCTTACACCCTGGCTCGGACTCACTTCCGTTGCAGAGACTTCTTGGTCGGAAACCAATAAGATGTCACTCAGCTGCATTTCTTCGTGGTGTTATTGCACACCACAGCACATTACCAATTCCCCCCCCCCCTTGCTTGCTGCAAATAGCCTCAATCACACGCAATCTGCAAAACCACAGACGCTCACTATCACTACAGTGCACAACGCTGCGGAAGAGGGAGTGTTGTCTGTTCTTAGATACAACATTTAATTGTCCCTGAGCACTTCTGCTCGTTGATGCCAGTAGAGCGGCAGCCAGTGATTCGGAGTTATCTGCGTAAACTTCAAAATTAATATTCTCGAAAAGCAAATTAATATTTTGATTAAATATTTCAGAGATATACTGTTGGGTGGATATTTAGTCCACGGTGAAAATTTTACAACAATCAAAGACCATTATATTTTGCTGGAGCTCACCTTTAACAGAAAACAATAGTAGAGTAGCTATGTCGCCTTGTGACAGCATACTGAACACAATGATCACTAACGTGACTGACTTCTAACTGTCACAATTTTTTTCTTTCTACAGCGTTATATTGTTGCTAATACAGTTTTATTGCCTTTTCCAGAGACTGCATTCATTTGCAGTGTTTAGCATGTGATAGTAGACACGACCGTCCACTTTCAAGACTAGTTTATTTTGCCTAAACAGCAACCTCCTCAGTCTCTATAAAGGTTACTTCATTGTGAAATGCCAGTGATGTGATTGGCGTAAGCCGTTTTGGAGCACCTTTTGGAGCAGCCAAAACGGTGTTTTGGAGCAGGAAAAGTGGCCTTTGGAGCAGGCAAAAGAGTGTTTTGGAGCAGCAGAAGTGGCTTTGGGAGCGGCCAGAACAGGGCTTCGGAGCAGCAAAAGAGGCTTTTAAAGCAGATATTCTTAGGAAAATAAACATATTCGTTTTAGGTGCTGGACGAACGAAGGGCACTTCGGTCGCCGCAATAAACAAATTACGGTCAAGTTAGACCACCTGGGAGTCTCTCAACATGTAACTGAAATGCCAAAGGCATAACACATCTTGCAATGCTTCATTTAAATTCTACATGTACATGTACCCGTTATAGGTAAATAAGAACCAAACTGCACTTAATAAAATTTATTTGAAAATAACCAGCTTAGTATATAGTAAATATCACAGCATTAGCTTGACTACCGTAGTTATATATAATATAATAATTGGAAACAGTCTCCGACTGATGAAACACGTAACTATACTGCAGTACAAGACAAAGGTGCATTCAGGGTAGCGGGTGCTTTTCTTTTTGCTTTTCGAAAATTTCTGCAAGGCTGCTGCAAGCCTCGCTTTGCCTTCGGCTAGTAATGAATGTCCACTTTCAATGTCTCCAAAGAGACATTGAGACATCCCACAAGTGTACAGTGCTGTGGGCGTTGCCGAGCAACTCCGAAAAACCGCTTGCCACCGTTTTACTGGTTCCCGACGTGCCAGATTTTCGTCAAAAGTAACCAAACATAAAACAATGGGTTGCAAGCTTCCCGGCTGGTGCCTCTGTCGTGCAGTCATGTTCGCATGCACATGAGGGCAACTTCGGCAGGCTTGCGATTGCACGTGCTTCGTCGCAAGAGTGGAGATGGCTGTTCGATCGAAACAGACACCATGCCACTCTGCTCCGTCGCCAACTGGTTCCCAAAATTGTATGAAAAGTGTAATTGTCCAGCATACGACAAAAAACAGTCCAGCGGCACGTGCTTGCCAGGCCGGCAGGCGAGGTACAAGCTAAACACACAGAAAAATAAGAACCTGAGCGCATTGATTCAAGACATCGCGAGCCAGAGTCAAAAAGTACTTGGAGCAGTCTGTGCAACGACTGAAGCGTCCACACACGCCCGCGTGTATCGTTGATTTTGTTTTTCTTTGTTTTGATAAGACGCGAGACGAGACACATGAGACACGACGAGAGCGTGAAACGAGAGACGGCGGGAAAAACTATGCAAGACCGGATGGACGATTGATACAGGGTACTTTTTGTCGGGCTGCCGCTTGCGCCACCTAGCTCACGCATGCTCAATTACGGTACTCAGTTTAGTTTCGATTTGAAACACAAACAAAATTGGTCTTTCGGCGCAGGCTTGGAGCAGATTACCCATATTTTGGCAAAATGTAGCAGGATGTAGCAGGGTTTGCCCCTTGGCGCAGTTTGGCGCAATTGGCGCAGCAATCACATCACTGAAATGCCCGTATATAAACAATATCCCGCAAAACAAAAAAACAAAAAAAAAACAACCTTGCCAGTTCCTCTGATATGTCAAGAATGACCAAAGAGAGCAATGTGCTTCGAGATGCAGAATCTAGAAGTAAATAAAAAGAGGGAATAGAGGCAGAGTGCAAAGAACCTCACAAAAGGAGTTAGCAAACATTATGTGACAATTATAATGCAATTAAATGCAAAGGGACAAGCGAGCTGGACAAGAATGACGAAAAAATTTTTCGTCATTCTTGTCCAGCTCGTTTGTCCCTTTGCATTTAATTGCATTATAATTATAACATTAAATTGCAAGCTTCACCCTTGTTGGTGTTAGACTGGTGGCAGCTGATAAAACCCGTTTGCTCTACTGACGTCTAACCCCTGGTTAGCTCAGTTGGTAGAGCGCTCCACTTGTAATGGAGAGGTCCCGGGTTCGATACCCGGACCAGGCGGATTTTTTCGGTCGCTCACCAGTTACCTAGCTGTGTTTGGAGATTTGTGTTTGTCCTGTGTCCCTCTTGTTCCCCTTCTCCAGGGAGTATTTTCGTCATTATGTGACACTTCTTTGTGCAGCATTTTCCTCAGCATCAACATAAAGTGCACGGTGGAAATTTGGCCCCGATATTAAGCTGGAGCGATTCCCGCATAAGTGTTTAGACTGTCTCTGGACAATGTCCTTCCTTGTCTGACAATGAGACGGCAATGCAGGGAACGTACTGGGCATAGGCCACCAACATCCACGTCATCCAGGCACAGATGATGCCACAGATGTCGCGCACAAACCAGAACCGACGGCCACAGCATTGCACCCGATCATCTGTCAGTGCAGGATTCCGGTTTGGAGCCACTGTCACCGGCAGGACAGGGCTCGCGGCAACCCTGCGGCTTCTCCGAAGAGGGCTGACACAAAAAGAGAGGAGAAAGCTTGTCAGACACTAAAAACAAATTCAGTAAAAAAACATTGTGTTGCGTACAAATGACAGCATATAAGAACACATCAGCATTGACATGTATTAAAATGAACCGATTCTTGTCCAACTTCAATCGATTCCAAGTAGACCATAAAAAAGGTGACAATTTCCCACTGTTCCACCAATGGTAAAAGTAGGTCAGCCTAGTTTTAGCTACACCCTTGCTTACATTTTCTTGATTAGATTCTGAGCAATGATGTACGCCCGCAACCTAAATCTGCCAGTATACAGCTAGATACAATTGCTAGATACTTCAAAATAAAGCCGTCAGGTTCATAGCTAAGGATTACTCCCGATATTCAAGTGTGACTAACATAAAACATTCCCTCAACCTTTCGCCACTTCATTGTTTTAGATACATTTCTCGCATGTCCTTCTTCCACAAGCTATACCATGGTTCATCTGCTTTCAGAGATTCATACATCCAGCCTCCTCCTCATGTCTCATCCCGCGTAGCTCACCCCTTCAAAGTACGCCCCATTTTTGCTCGCACCCAACCTATTCAAAAACTCCCTTCTCCTCCTCGCTGTCTCCGATTGGAACAGCCTACCCAGCGATAGTGTGTCGATCACCTCAGCCCAGATGTTTACCAACGCCTTAACCAATGTATAACAATGTATGTAGTTTTTGCTTACCTAGTTTTCTGTTATTGTATGTTGCGCCATCATCTTTTTGTCATTTGTCTATAATTGCCCCCCCCCCCCTCCCCCCTATGTAATGCCCAAAAGGGTTCTTAGGGTAAATAAATAAATAAATAAATAAATCCAGCTAGATACAATTGCGAACAAAATTTAGAGCAGGCAGAGTGCCTTCCAAGTGTGCAATTAACAGTCACATTTTGCTTTCCTGATGCTAAAACACACGCATTTGATTCAGCAGGATGCTGTAGCCACTGGAAGCTTAAATGCAAAGGGTACATCTTGAGTCTGGCGAATACCAAGTATAGGATGCAGGCTTAAGCTAATTGCTTAACTGCACACAAGCTTGAGTAGCACAACTGAAATCTACATGGCTGTAAAGGCACCACTACTGACAGTATACTTGCCTTAGAGAAGTGACGACAAACCACATCTTGTGCCCTTCTCCCAAGTAGCATTAGTGAAACCAAAAACTTCAACATCCAAGATCACATTTTAATTTGAAACTAGTTACAAAATACCTATACTCGAAATTACTTTTATAAAAGATTACAAACTCTCTTGCACAGTCATGGTTATTGTATAAGAAACGTGCCGAAGAGATGTGCAATCAATTCCGTAAGAAGCTGTGAGTAAAGAGAATGGCATATAGGCAAAATATGTCCTGTGAGCCGGATACGCTCCAGCCTCAGGCATAAATAGACTGGCCAACGCCGATGTACAGCACAACCCTCACCTCTAGTTTCGCCTAAATTTGGACAGCATTTAATGGCCTTCAGGGGTCTAAACCAGGGTCTGAAACCATAACTGTAACCCAAACAGAAAACCGTTAAGGATAGAAAACTTTTCGGTAACCGTTATGAAATGAAACCAATATTTTAATACCCGTGCCACACGGGCAACTCAAATGCCATTTACAACGAATGACATTTGAACGATCAGCCAATCAGCGCACAACACTCCGAGCGTAGGGCGTTCCACGTGCGACAGATCGCGAGCCGATTCGTCGATCACACGAATGTCAACCATTGTAAATGGCATTCGAGTTGCCTGTGTGGCACGGGTATAATTTAATGTTAACCGTAACTATGACTGTAATGTCTTGACTGGTAACCGAGATATTATATCGGTTCAAGATTTTTTTCTTTTCAACAATAATACAGCAGAACATTAACGATAATCTTGGAAATGCAATCAGCATTTGCAGACAGCACACTGTCTTCGCTTTGCTTACTTTCTTTCCGAAAGCAGCCGGGGAAAGGAGTGAGGGAGCGAAAACAAAAGCGTCAACGTGCGGAGCTGGCGGCAGGTCCGTGTTCTAGACTGTGGGACGGCTAGGACGGCGCCGTTGTGGACGGAGGCGCCAGTGTCATGCTTCCTTTGCTACGCTCCATTTCAACTTTTTCTGGCAAACACTGGATCCTTCAGGGATGCTGGGCCAACAAGAGAGCTGGAGCGAGGCACGTGACAATGCACCACGGAACCAGAAACTAGTATGGAGCGCTGTCACCTATTTCACTTCAATGCTCTTATTGGCTTTTAGAGAACCATGGATATAGACGTTTGCCGAGCGAAGGCTCACGGTGACAGCTCTGCAGTGGCCAGCAGTCTTTGTGGCCGCCACAATTTCAACCAAACAAGAGAAACTGCTCCCCACATGCGACTCTTGGGAGCCAATAGGCGCCGCTGACACCGTTCTGATGTCAACAACGGAGAGCTAACAAAACGGCTAGCCGGACATCAATGGGGCGCCAGAGTTTGTTTCTGTCGTGAATGCAACTGGCGAGTGAAAGCTTAGTGGCTCTCGGTTGTTCAACTTTTCCATGGTATGTGCCCTTTCTATTCCCGAAATATTTTATTGCGAGTGAATACACAATCATATGGAAAGTTTGGATATTTTGGTCGGGAGGCACTCACTGAGTGAATGATGCTTTAGTGAGCAAGACTTCATCTACAATGTTTAGTCGGCTGATGGTGTTCATTTGAGGAAATGCCATGGTCCTGTTGGCAGGTGATAATAGCTCACTGCAATGAACTCAGTTTAAACAGTTGATTCCCAAATCTTAAAATGTAATTAATTTTTTTTTGTGGTACTATCTCCTGCGAATTACCATTATTGTAAGCATCATTTAAAAAAAAGAATCACAACATTAAACATTTAAAAATATTTATTTTAGGCATGAGACACAAATAGTCGGCCCGCAAATAGAATAGTTTAATTGTGACCCCCGGTGGAAAGACGAGCCTTTATATATATTATGGTAACGGCGCTAAAGAAACAGCTTGACTGAGTTGGAAGTTTAAGGAAGACATGAGTATTCAGAGGATGAACTGGCAGAGCACCAGATCCTACTTTCTTCAAAATACAGCCCCGATTTCCAGTATTAAACACTTCCAAGGTGCGTTCGTGAAGGTGATGTGCGACCAAACTGAAATGACAAAGAGAAGTCGGCTTATTATGTGTGAAAGTTGGTTATCGGTTTTCTTGTCTGCAGGTCATATATTACTCAATGTTTTCTTGTCGGAAGTGAGTTCAAAACAGTAAAAATATGTTAGGAGAGCTGAAAAAAAAAAAGATATGGAGATTTTTTCTTAATATTTACATCCAATTTAGATAATATTTGATAAACAAGTTTTATTTCCTGATTAATGTCTGGAGGAAAACAATAGGCAGAAAAATATTGTTTATAGATTCAGAGACTTCAATTATCGATGCACATATTTTTTTTACACTTCATTAAATTATCCAAGTAACTGTTTATTTAGAAAGAATTTCTGAAAATATCTCCAAAATTTGTTTTGAAGAATGTTTCATAATTTTATTTACATAAACATTTAAAATTTTGGGGCAAATATTCTGTGAAATTTTTGTGCACATCTCATATAACTATGGCGGTGCAAATTAGCATGTGAAATCTCGTCAATTTTTATACCTTGGGCATCTTAACTTTATATATATGCTAAATATTTAGCTTTGGAATTTATATTTACCTTAACATTTATCCCAAAGACATGGCTTGCATAAACAGGGTGTCCCAATTTTCATGCACCAAGTTTTATAAAAAGACAATGAGCTCTACGGAAATAAAAGCCCCTGTATGTTGTTAAGAAACATCTTTCAAAAGCGAGCTTTTTTTTTAATATCATTATTTTGTTATTTTATCCAAATATGCAATTAGTCGTAGGCAGGATGTTTTCATTACCAGCTTGTTAAAAAAGAAGTCAAACCGAAAAAAATAAGAAAAAGGTTTTTAGGGGCGGATAATCAGTAAGTGAAATGGTAAAAACCGAAACGAAACCAATCTGAAGAAAAAAATGGTAACTGTAACCGTAACCGAACCATTATATTTATCAGTTTCAGTCCGTGGTTTAAACCTACCTGGGTTCACTAGCTTCACCATCCACAAGTGAAGTCAGTAAACCAAAATTAGGTGCTGAGCTCAAGCTGACTGGCATCTCATGTGTCGTGTCCGTTTATCTGTGTCGTGTTTGTTCTCCTCGTCCCCACTCTCCAGGGTTAAAATGTCTATCTCATGTAATTAACTTTTTGCTGGGACAGGCCCCACCGCTAGGTCTTTGCGACAACTTTCATGACAAATGATTTTGTGCTTGACAATACTATAAAGAGCATGTTTGCATGGTGAATTGAGTTCAGTGGCCTTTCAAATCACTACTTTAAGACTTTCCCTCACAAAGGATGCAAATTACAAACATCCAACTGATTTAGGATCTTGAACCTACAACAGTTCTCTACCAGCTCTGCATGCTCATCATCCCCTTCGCATTACAACTGACAAGGTGACTTCAATGCGCGACCCCCTTGTCTACAGGCACAACAGTTTCGCTGCATTGCATCGATGGCAAGATTGGCATGGTCAGCTGTACTGTTAGACATTAAAGTCATCGCAGTGAATACTCCAAATGAGAAAGAGCACCTGTGGAGGAACTAAGCGAGAGATCTTTCAAGATCGAGACTGGTTTCTTGCACCTCGAACACATTTCCAACATTTTTTGTTGTCGCTGTTTCGTTCCCGATATTTTTCAGTTAGCTCTATATCGAGGTTTGACGTTAGCATACTTAAAATTCGTAGTGATCTTTATCCACTGACTGATAAGTGCCCGTCAGCGGTGAATAACGACCATTCAACTGCCAAAACACCGATAACGACAGGAGGCAATCAAGCGATCGATTAAAAAACGTAACAAACTACAGCCGTGAGCACAGATGCCAAGTGCCCCACGGCACATCAACGTAATCACGAGGTCATTGGAGGCGCATTTTACCGTAGTTTTGGCGAGTTGTTGAGCACCTTGACTCAAAGTACATTTCCGCGTAAGTGAATAACACTCCTATTCACTTCTAATCAGCAGCCTCGATCACCAAACCAGATTTTATCAGAGGAGGGATAACAACAGCAACTCGTTTGGCAGGTAATCGGAGGTTCAGGCGAGCGTTTTCAGTACAACAGCAACGAAAAACCGTGCACCAGACACCTTTAGGTGGATCTCCAGCGGACGCTGGAGAACCTGGCAGCCCGTTCGCAACATATTTGCATTCAACCTTTTCGTTTTCTCTATCTCATTTTTTCTATAGTTTTGAACGACAGCTGTGTGTCTCGGGTATTGCTTTACATTATACGGAAAGTAATGAACAAGATTTATACGTACCAGTCTAGTCGCATTGCCATATCATCATACAAGAGTCGCAAAACACGGTCTTCGAGGAAAAGTGTCAAGAAACCGGAGGGAAAGTAAAAAAATAACAGGGCGCGAACCTACCGTTGTCGTTTACCCTAGACCCTTTTCCGCCACTTTTGGCGTACTAAATAAGACGGTTAAAAAAAAAAAGTAATACCAAGTTTTATTTTAAATAACACATAAATTAAAATATAAACATTTCGTTTCTACTTTTATTTATGATTTTTATTGAGTAAGCTTATCATTAAAGTTTTATGAGCTGCTCTGAATGTGGCTCACATAACACATTGCAACTTGCAAACAACGTTGGTCACCAGTTGTTACCATAGAGATCAGTGGTCGTTACTGTCGTTACCATGGTTATTCTTGGTTAAAAAACAAATACAGTATTGTAAACTTAAAAAAAAGAAAATATGTGCACACTAATGAATTAACCACTTATAATAAATATGTAGGACAAAGCGAATTGTTATTTGTGCACATGGTAGAATAGTTGTTGCTGCTAAAAGGAGATGGCGCAAGTAATCCATGCATTGCGTGCGGCGCCGGCGCGGGCAGTGGCGGAATGGGTGGTATGGGGTCGTGGTAGTGGTGTGCGCCCTGCGCGTAGACATAAATAAAATTTCGTTAAGTTAAAAAGTATGAGCAGACTGCCTATTTGGTGCCTCAGTCCAGGCTCCCTAATGTGCGCGTATAGGTGTGCGCCGATCCATGGCAGGTCCCTTTTCATTTTGATCGGCGGAGCGGCGTGCGCCCATTTTACATCGCTGGCGTTCAATATTGGCGCGTAATTCAAAAATACGCGCCGGTATGGGTGCCTATGTCGTATTGTCTTCCTTTTTTTTTTTTAGTGTAGTTTTAGCGGTGTTTAAAGGTTATTTTTCACAGCGCAGTTCAATCAAAACATAAAATCAAATGCTCATTTACGACACACCCTCTTTAAAAGTACTTTCGCACAGTTGGTCGAAGGACGTTTTAGCGAACGCCGACTTCAGACCGAAAAACACTTCAGCGAATGGTCGGCCGCCGCGAAGCAGCGTTTTCGGGCGTGCAACGTGGATTAACATTTTTGTAATGCGCCGCCGCGAAGGGGGGGGGGGGGGGGGGGCAAACGCGCGCGCCCCCGTTATTTGCTAAAACGCCCATTCGCTCAAATGGCGCTGTTCGCTAAAACGTCATTCGCTCATGTGATATGGACCCGTTGTTTTATTGCAAAAGACACACACACACACAAAAAAAAGACGTTTACAACTCCATGTAAGACCGGATTAGAACGCAGCTCTTGAGGAGGGTATGCCCTCCTCTTCATCCGTACTCTCTCCTCCTCCCCTCCTCCTCCTCTTCCCGTGCTCCTCCCCTCGTCCTCTGCTCCTCCTCCTCCACTCCTTTCCTCCTCCGCCTGCTTGCGATGCGATATATACCGTGCTAAACAATCTGAGAAAGGTATATATATAAATATATATATCTTCTGGTAATCTCGCTCACCGCTTGCCCGAAGAAAGGACATGTAGTTCTCACATCTGGAAGCTCCACTCTGTCTAAGAGTTGCCGGTGCCAGGAAATAGGACAGCAGGTTGAAGACGGGAGAATGAGACAGCGTTAATGTCAACACTTCGACGAAGCACGTGATACTCTCGATCTCGTCCTACTTGTTGTCGGCTCCGTCGAAGACTGCTCGGCGTTTTTTTTTTATTTCCTCGGCATTAGTCTTGACCGTGCTCCCCCGAGATGGCACAGCAGAACAGCAAGTGCACGTCCCTCACATGGCGACAACAGCAGCGGTTCATGAAAACTTTCTAAAGTTTCTACTCTCTGCACATAATGAAAATGTGTGCATTGTTGACATGCACGTCTTTTATGTGACATTCCACGATTGGTAGAGAACACGCTATGACGTCACTAGCAAGATGTTAATGTTTTTATTCCTGGAAGTAAGAGTCTGCACGAACGTTAAGGTTGATGGAACTATTCAATGACAACAAGCTTTCACACCGTGCTCTTTGCACACTCCATCAAACTTTTCGTTCTCAACCTGAGTCAGCTGAGAATAAGTCACCGGGATACTAAGCGTTTTGACAAAATCTGCATTGTGGCGTAGCAAGCATTAACACATTCCAATGATGTCAATCTGCTTTGGTAAAGGCGCCTTGCTTCATCACCATAAATGTGCGGTAACTCGGAAGAGCTCACTTTTGGTGGCTGTTATTCTCGCACACTGAGCTGAATGTGACTTACAACCATCGTATTCACTATCCGCCATAAGGTGAGCTCATTGCGTACAACGCATGCGCAGAGCTACCTTTATTTATGGACTTCCAAAAATGACTGTCTTCATGGTGTGAAATGCAGTTTTAGGTATCAGTGCCAGGAGCGAATTAACCCAGGGGTAGATTTATGAATCAGGCTGGGGGGGTTTGCTGAGATATGACGTTATCCCCAGCAATTCGGGACATAGACCACCACTTGAGCCATCTCTTGGCAGATGTGAGCAAACAGCTAAATAACAATAAAATCTACCCGATAAAAATCATGTAACTGAAAGTTCTTCCACGTATATAAGTTAGATTTGTTAGTCGAAGAAACACTTTATTATCCTATGAATTTTGTAGGTTCCTGAAGAAAACATTCGACTTCCTTCATTGACTCCCATAGAAATTTTCAATCCTCTTTGGTTCTATCAAATTTATGAAACAATCATTAAGTATTTCACAAAGTTCCCGGAGGGATTTATAGTAGGGACTGCACGCTATCAAATTTCGTATGCATCTAACTTATAACTGAATTCTCTTAGGCTCCCCAAGAGATATTAATTACAGGTGATGGTATGAACTTTATTTGTCAGGAGGTTATAGGGAGGAGCTGGAGATTCCGAAGGCCGCTAACCCTAGGGTGCCTCGCTAACCCATGGGCCGCGGCGACCTCCGCAGCCCAGGCCACCGTCCGTTGTTGGACGGCGGCTTCTAAGCTGCGCAACAGTGCCTCCCACTGGTTCATATTAGTGATCTGTGGGTGTGTAAATGGTAGTTGTGAACACCCCTAGAAGGAGTGCGTTAATGTGGCGGGTTGTGTACAGAATTGGCACGTTGATGTGTACCTGCCTGGGTATATTTTAGAGAGTATTACTGGGGATAAGGGGGGGGGGGGGGGGGGTAGGTGTTGGTCTGGAGCCGTCGCCACGTGTTTTCCTGTGTTTTGGTCAGCGACTTATGCGTGGGTGGATAAATGACCCGCGACAGTCAATATGCCGATGTGATTTCCTGATAAGTTTGTGGGTAATCCCTATAGCCAGAAGCCAACTCTTGTTGTATTGCCCCCGCCCGGTAAGCCGAATTTCGGGTGAAGTTATGGGCGGCAAGGTTGCCTGGGAGTCCTGCCTGTGCTGGGGACTAAATTAGTGAGATTTTCGATTGTGGTGTTGGGATTTCTTCCAATATGCGACGAGCCTGGGGAGATACGGCCGCAAACAAAATGGCGAATTGCCGTCTTGCTGTCGATGATAATTGTGCGGGCATTCGCTGTGGCGATGAACGAGGCGAGGGCCGCTTCCTTTGCCTCTTCTAAGGTTGAGCCTGGTATGGAGCAGCTGTTCTTAACTGTTCCCTCTTTGCTTTTGACGACGGCAGTCGTGGCTGACCTGTGGGCGTGCTCTGCTGCATCCGTGTAGATGGCTTGCGGATCAGAGTGGTAGCGTTGCTGCAAGCTCTTGCACCTCGCTTCCCTCCGTTCTTGATGGTATTCCTAGGTATATGAGGGATGAGCAACTTCTCCCGCATATCTCTGGGAATTGCGATTTTGGGGTCAAGGTCTTGAGAAGTGTCCTTCCAGGTTTTGTGGCTGAGAGACGGAGGGTTTGTGCTAGGTGGCCTTCCACTAGCTGATCGATGGTGTTGTGAACCCCTAAGGCTACTTACTAGCCGAGTTGTGGATGCGTTTGGGGGTAGCCCGAGAGAATTTTTGACAGCCCCTTTGATGAGACGGTCTAGCTTGTTCTATCCGCGGCGTATAGTTTGATATACGGGGCGGCATAGACCGTTCGGCTGAGGACAAAAGCTTGCACTAGCTGGATCAGATCTTGCTTCTTCATTCCACTATGCTTGTTTGATATCCTCTTGATAAGGCGAACGGTTTGATAGCTGGTAGCAGAAAGCTTCTGGAGAGTGATGGTGTTATGACAATTGTTTTGGAAGGTAAGGCCTAATATCCTAATCTGATCCACTTCTGGCGTTAGCTGAGTTCCAATGTGAAAACTGAGAGTGTAGGGATTTTGATCCTCATCATCAGAGCCTTCGGGGGCTTCTCTTCTCCAGCTGTAAGAGGGCTTGACCATGGTGTACTCGGATTTCTCAGGGGAGCAAGGTAGTCCCTTTGTGGAAGCGTATGCACGCACGATGTCTACGCCTCTCTGCAGGATACTAGTAAACTGAGACGTGTTTCTGGCCTCCACCCACATCGTTATATCATCGGCGTACAGGCTGCGGTGAAGGCCAGGGATGGTACTAAGCTTTTCGGGTAGCCGACATAGCGCTACGTTAAAAAGAAATGGGGACAGCACCGCTCCTTGTGGAATTTCTCTTCCCCCTAGTTAGATGGACGAGGATTGGTGTTCCCCGACTCGGATGGTAGCTGTCCTACCCGTGGGAGCAAGGACCTTCCACTACAGTGGAAGGTACTTTCTTCCATGTCGAGATGGTTGAGGTTGTCGAGGGTAGCCTCGTGACTGGCATTGTCAAATGCCTTTTTGAGATCTAGGCCCAGTATGCTTCTGTACATGGGGAAGATTGACCGTCCGTTTTTTTATGTTCCCCATCTCAGGGTCTACAAGATGTTGATTCATCACCAGCTCGCTTGCAGTCTATCACTGCTTACAGAAAACTTGATGTTTAAGCTGAAGGAACACATTTTGCGTGGAGAGATATGGGCTGAAGCCGAACATGGTAGGAGGGAAAAGATTTCTATCCTCCACGTAGGAGCTGTGCAACAATTTCACTGCTTTGCTTAAATAATTTGGGAGTTGGTGCCTCGACCTTTCTGAAGTAAAGAACAAAACACCGCTTTTGCCTGCATGTCCTAGTTTTTATTTTAAAAATGGACAAAGATTGAGGTTTTCGG